CTATGTGCTTCGCGTACGGTGCCGCTCGCAAAACTACGGCTTGTGGAGCAAGTGGAGCCAGCCGTTGCTGATGAACATTCCTTCTCGGCCACAAGCAGGTACAGGTACGATGTCCCCACCGATGTGAGCGTCCATCTACAAGCAGCCGTGGTAGCAGGGAATGGGCATTATTGCATTTGTTCCCCAGGCCTTTCAACTTTGACTGTTTTCATAAAAGAGAATCTATTATGTTTCAGCCAATTATTATATTAAGTATTCGGGCTGATCATGCAAGGCCTTACAGAATGTTGTGTTTTATGAGGGTCAACCAGTTCAGGGTGTCCCCCGACTACTGCCCGTAAACAGCTGGGATAGGCTCCAGCCTGCCCGCGAACCTCGTGAGGATAAGCGGATTAGAAAATGGATGGATGGATGTTATTAGGTGAGAGGCAATATCAGCAAAGCATTTTGATATATATTTGAGCATAAACTAACAAGACTACAAAATGAAGACAGGAAACTGTTGGAAATAAGCTAATCGTTTAATAATTTAATTCGCCAAAATTAGAATTTAGGTTGTAAGTAAAAGTCTTTTGATTCTGATCTTGTTCACTTTGTTCCCTTCATTGAAGCAGACACACTCATCATGGTGATTCTGGTGACAACCATCAGCATGATGGCGATCTTGGCCTTCTCTGTGTGTGTCATTCCACAATGTGTGAGGTGAGAATTCACATTCCTTTTCTTCATGTGCAATGAAAAGCTCCCCTGTACCTTTCCCTTAAATCTGGCATCCTACTGTTTCACCATGCAGAGTGAAAAACTTCTTTTGGCCACCTATTCCAAAACCACGCATCATCGGCATTGACCCGCTGCTTTTGAAGGTAACGCAAGTTCCATCTTCTATGTGTCCTCTGTCTTCTGCTCACCACAGGTGGCTTACAAACTCACACTCTATATTTCAGTAAGTACGGTATATTTTAAAGTAAAAGTACTGAGTCGACTCATTTAAAAGGGCGAGGCGGGGGTTAGTGTTAAAACTGCTAGCAAGTCTCTGACGCCCCTCACTAAATGTGCATGAGCACGATTGTTACACATGGGCATACATAATGGCATGTGATGATGAAAATTTGTAGTTGTGGAAATAGTCACAGAGAGCACATATCTTGTATCCACAAATTAGCAGCGCTAGCAATAATAGGCTTGCGACATTGCGGCTGCTATGTTCCTTGCATGCTCATTCGGAATGCAGTGTTACCATGACCATAAATGCAATCGGTTTGGAGTTTTATTTTTTGGAATGTACAGTCAATTAAAGCTCAAAAGAGGTGATAAATGTGCCTCTCGGGCAGAAACGTTGCTAGCTTCGCATTGCTCCTGAATCGTCTCTGCTCTCTGAGCTCGATTTCCTCTGCTTCTGTATGCTAGTATTTTGCCCAGTTAGAAATCTAATTTGAGGCACAAGATGTAGCCAGAGATGGCTGATTTTTATTCACATGGTCATTTAATTGTCAGTGAATATACTGTAGATTATTGCAAAGTATTCCTCCTCCTGTGAGTCAGAGAGAGAGAGAAAGAAAGAATGAAAAAACATCACTGACATCTTGAGAGACTTTTTGATGTCCATTCAATTTGCTTCCCACTCTGCGTCCTCAGAAGGGGAACTTGGATGAAATCAACCGCCACCTGACTAATTTCCATGGCTTCGTAGCTCCCAGCTTCCTGGATACCGAGGTATGGGAGCAGGTGAGCCCTGACAACATCTATCTCGCCACGGCCAAAGACTGCCCCAATCCCACCAAGTCACCCAGCCAG